AATTAGCTTGTAGTACATCGTCGTGTTATTCTATCATTAGTGGAAAAAAAAAATGGAGCACATATAGCAGTGTACAAACATTTCTTAATGATCATAATTTGCTAGCATTAACGTTATCATATGATTTTTTTTTTTGTTACCTTCCAATTTATTTTGAGTGTAGTAAAGAGTTATATATTAAGAATATTTGATTGATCACAGGGCGGTAGTAGCAGCAGTAGTAGTAGCAGTAGTAACGCGAAAACATGGATTTCCTACACGAAAGATGGATCACTAGATCGGCATGGAAGGCCTGCAGCCAAAGGAAGAACCGGTGGGTGGAGAGCCGGGATGTTACTCTTAGGTAATAACTACTTAATTATGATAATTTTTTAAGTCAAATTGTTGCAATTATTACACTTCATAGAACGAAGTATAGAACACTTTTGGATTCATATCGAGTTTGTCCAAGAAAGGTCATGTTATTTCCTTTTATCACCCACCATCAAAATTAATGTGGTCTATTATAATTTGGAGAGACTCAAAGTTTGACCTCAAAAAATAAGACCAACTGTTAATTATAAAACAGAGATAGTAATAACGTAACAACTAAATTTATGGTCAACTGAAAATACAAATAAGAGTCATTTCAATCTTTGATGAAAAAGAATGTACTCAGTAGTGAAAATTTTACCTAGTTTTAGTCAAAGAATAGAGAAAAACTTTATCCTCTTAAATGATGGTGCCAATTCCTAGTTAGCTAACTTGTTGGCATTCACATACAAAATCATGAATCTTGTGAACTTAGCATGTCACCGAAAGGAAATTTCAATCCATGATATAATAAGTACAATAGATTATGATTAATTAGGTCCACCAAAAAATTAGTATAAATTTACTTTGCTAATCTCCCGGTCTTTGTATATCTTTAACTTTTACTCATATTATACTAGACTAGATCTATATGCATGCGATATGTGCTTTAAATTTTAAACTACAAAAATTACCGGTATGAAAAAAAGTAATGACATGTTACTAGATATTTAAGATGGACACCAAATTATTTAAGGAATTGACTTATTATTTGGAGAATAATAGAGATTAATTAAATAATTATATTGATCTAAATTTTAAGAATCCCAAAAATATAATTATGTGACACCTTTTCGGTTGGTCTCATGGACCCTATGTACCTTATTTTGTTGTCAATAAATCATCATAAGTTCAACATGCGCTAAAATATGAAGTATACATATATATTGTTTAATGTTTACATGATATAAAATATTTAATTTTTGTCCAAAATTTTATTATTATGTTGTTTAGTGGCATGGGGACAATTATCACTTTGAATTCAATTAAATCATAATTGAAATTGATGGACTCTTCCTTGTTGATGGCTAAATTTAGTACTTTTGAAATATCACATAATCATGCGAGATTCTACCTTTTGTCACGATAAAGATAGAAGTTGAGATTGAGCAATAAAAGTTGGTCAAGAAGATAATGAAAAAGTTATTTTGGGACTTTAAAAATAGGAGTTTACTTTATACATTCATGAATGTATAAGTTGGCGATGAAACATAACTTTTGTATTGATTTCTTAAGACACTATGATCACTAAGATCTCAAGATGTATTTGAAAAGACAATCTCAAATTGTATATAAGAAAAAATCCTTTATAAAATTCTCGGTTTCAAACTTCTTTAATTATCTTCACACGTTCAAAGTAAATATGACCTTGAAGTAAATTAAGATATATCGACATGTGTAAATTATAACCTGTCAACCGTTAAATCAACATGTTTGTAAGCCTATGACCATGAAAATTAAAGATGACATTATTTTGAGGTGGAGATAGTAATTGCTAGGGCGACATACAACTGTATAGAACATGATGTTAACATAGTTATGTCTTATTTTTTTCCGTTTTTGCTCTAAAGATATGTAAGTTTTTGATGTTTTCAAAAAATAGGTAATGAAGTACTAGCAACACTAGCATTTGTTGGTGTGGAAGTGAACTTGGTGTTATTCTCCAAATCGGTGTTGAGACAGACAAACGCCGAGGCAGCAAACACCTTCAGTATGTGGATGGGCGCGGTGTATCTCTTCTCATTGATAGGGGCTTTTCTCAGTGATTCATATTTGGGAAGATATTTCACTTGCTTAATCTTCCAAGCTGTTCTTACCATTGTGAGTATATATCTGTCCTCACCCACTCTTGATCTTAATCTTTTAGTCTTTATTGCATATCATAAATTCATAATAACGTTATATAATCTATTACAGCACGTAAGATAAATGTATAAACATTAAACACGCTAAAAAACTAAAGTTTTTTATGCGTGTTTTGTTTTAACTTAAGAGATATGTCCTTATGTACCACAATGTAGTCCTCAATTTATTTGTTTGAACGGTTATTTTGTTTTAAGTTAATTAGAAGTTGTGGGTCATAGACTCATAAAATTAACATGAACCATGAGTTACACATATTGTTGTGCACAAAAAATGGGACTGACGATTTTAAATGTTCAACACGTTATATCTATGCCAGGAGTAGATTCAATCATCGGGTTTTGTGTTTCCTTTCATCAAAAAAAAAAAAAAAAAAGGCGTGATCTTGCCAATAATTAATTACTTCTTATTTTATTACAAGCATTCAAATTAGCTCAAATCAGATTGTCATTAGAGTTAATTTCGCGATTAAGTAGCTGTCATTAGTATGAAATAATGAAGTTAAACAAGTGCTTCTTAATGTATGCAGGGGTTAATTGCAAGCTCCTTGACAACCCAACATCTCCTACTAAAACCTGGTGGTTGTGGAACACTAGAGCAACAATGTGATCCTCACTCGAAATTCGAGACAGCAATATTCTTCATATCAATCTACTTAGTTGCCTTAGGTAACGGGGCAGCTGAACCTGCACTAGCTACATTCGGAGCTGATCAATTTGATGAGGAAGATCCTGAAGAAAGCCGGGCAAAGACCTCGTTTTTCAGCTACTTCTACGTCGCCTTAAACATGGGTTCCTTAATTGGAGAGACAATTTTGGTATACATTGAGACAATGGGAGATTGGGTGCTTGGATTTTGGATATCTACTTGTTGTGGAATTGCTGCTTTGATTTTGCTGTTTAGTGGAACTATGAGATATAGGCATTTTAAGCCTAGTGGTAACCCAATCTCTAGGTTCTTTCAAGTGATTGTTGCATCCTTTAGGAAAATGAGCCTTGAGGTTCCTCAACATGGTGAAGGGCTTTATGAGATTCAAGGAAAGGATAGTGAGATGATTGGAGCTCGAAAATTACTCCACTCGAATGGGTTCAAGTAAGTAATCATCTCGCTTCAGAATCATCTACTCTTTCTATTTATAAGTAATAATTGATCACGCTGTAACTTAAATTGTCCTAAAATAATAAGTCACTTTCTAAATTTAATAAATATTTTTTCCCGATACTACCCTTAACATAAGTGATAGTAAAAATATGATCGCCAATCAAAAATAAGTTATATTTTAAGATCGAATGTATAAATTGCATTTATCATCTACTAAACTCTGCTTCCTCTGCTCCTTATTCACTGCGATTTCTTTCCTTGCAGGTTTCTCGATAGAGCAGCAATCATCACACCGGTAGACACGTCCTTTATACCAGAGAAGACATCCCCTACGAACCCTTGGCGGCTATGCACAGTCACTCAAGTCGAGGAAGTGAAATGCATCCTAAGATTACTACCTATATGGCTATGTACCATACTATCTTCGGTTGTTTTCATCCAAATGTTGTCTCTCTTCATAGAGCAAGGAGCCACCATGAACACCGCGATAGGAGCCTTCCACTTCCCCCAGCAAGTATGACTGCTTTTGACATAATCAGCACATCAACCTTCATCATCTTTTATGACAAACTCATAGTCCCTCTTTATGTTAAGCTCACAAAGAGGAAGCCAAAGCCTCCAAGCGAGCTACAAAGGATCGGTGTTGGACTATCAATAGCAGTTGTTGCAATAATAGTAGCAGGGTTATTGGAACAACAAAGGAGGAAATACGCTATTTTGAGTGGGGAGGATATAAGTCCTTTGAGTATCTTTTGGCAAACTCCACAGTATGTTCTAGTAGGAATTGCTGAGGCCTTTGTTTATGTGGCTCAATGGGAGTTTTTCTCCTCGCAAACACCCGATGGTATAAAGAGTATTGGACTAGGATTATCGATGTCTTCTTCAGCAATGGGAAGCTACTTATGCAGCTTGATGTTGTCTGTTGTAATGCGTATTACCACGAGGAATGGCAAGCCAGGTTGGGTGCCTCCCAACTTGAATGACGGGCACTTAGACAGGTTCTTTTTCCTGTCGGCTGCTTTAACTGCAGTAAATCTAGGGTTCTATGTATTTTGTGCAAGAAGGTACAAGTGTATCTCCTTAGAGAAGCGAGAAGGTGGCAAAGAAACGGAAACCATTGTACCGTAAGGTGGAAAAGTGGAAAGAGTTGTAAGCTAAGATCATTTGTTGTAGCATTACATGTATACTTCACAGGAAACTTCAAAAAGATGATGTGTTAAACCATTGAGCTTGATTGCAGAAATAGTTCAAGTGAGGAAATTCTTGAGAGTAGCATTATACACAAGTTTTTTTTTTCGAACTCTTGATCTTTCCCATTGTAACAAACTTGAGAGTAGGCGACCACGCCACATTTGACTTGAACAATAGCTAGCATCTAACTGTAAAATTTTCAAGGAATGTCATTGAACTACATTTGTGAATTTATACTACCTTTGCAACGAGGCTATTATAAGCCTCTACAATTGCACCTAAACTGTTTTCGTCAGCCCTAAATTTTTCTTGCTCCATACTAGTTCAGTTTTAGAGGAATCGAATTGTCTTAACACTCTTATGAGTTACTCTGTACTATGCTCTGTAAGTGTAGAGAACCTGAATGCGGTCTTTTGCATAGGAATTGCACCTAAACCATAGCTGCTACGAGAATGTTTACTTTGTAATCACGACAATGAGCAAAATATTGAAGATTAGCTAATTAGTTATGAACATTTTTTCACAAAATCAAAAGCTAAGCATGAATTTATTTAGATATTTGGCAATCATGCTTTCAATCTCAGCTAAGTTTTGGAAGATAATAACAATTTGACAACAACAATACTACATTAAAATCAAACACTATAAACCAATTCATCTGTTGTGTAACAGAACTGTACTGGTCTAGTTTATTGTATGAATGATTGATGTTGACTATTACTTTGACATTACTGCTGATAGTTCTCTCACCAACTTGGCAGCAACCATTGCTGTCATACCATCAACAGTGTCCCTCTGAGGATTAAATTCAACCACGTCTGCAGCCACGATATCACCGTGAAGATTATGCAGAATATTGAGAACGTCACGAAAAGACAGACCTCCGGGCTCAAAGTGAGACACACCAGGTGCAAATGCCGGGTCAAGACAGTCCACATCGATTGACACATAGACACCCTTAACTCCCTCACCCAGTTTCTGAGTCAATGCAAAAGGAGAAAAAAGTCACAAAAACGCTTGAATATCCGGATGAAGTAAAACAAATTCACTCCACACTTCATCTTTCGCCCCAAAATTGCATGTTGGCAATTTGCACGGACATTAGGAAAGTGAAAAGGTAGATGGATATGCATGGGAGGCAACTTTAGAGATGAAGCAGAGAGGAAAGATGCTAATACTGGAAATTAATAGATTACTATGGGACATAAGGCATATTAAAGGTTTCATGGACTGAGGTAGTATGCCATCAAAGTAACGCAAATAAATGACTTCGATAATTTATTGACTGACAATTGAGTACCCAAATAAGATAACATCAGGTCGTCTACAATAAGAAAATTTCCAAAGCTTTGTTTAAAAAGGAGTGACAACAAGAAATTGAACACAAATCATTTAGAAAATGTACAATGCTGTTAATACTCCACCTATAACACGAAGGTTGGATTTCTTGGGAGCAAAGATTGTTAATTCAGGAAAGAGAGTTATCAAGGAAGCAAAATGAAATCCAGGAAAGGATAATAGGATTGAAACTTAGATGTCAAACAAATGAAGCAACAGCATAGAAGAGCATGATGTACATTTATGTGCATGAACATACATTGAAACATATAAAACAGTATGATGTATAAGTTGGCAATCATAGATTCACAGAGCAGATGAGAAAGATAAGGAAATACCAAATTTTCCAAGTAATGGCGATCTTGTGAATATGTTCGCATTTCAAATTGCTCCACTCCAAATTTCTTTCCTTGCTCCCGACCTTCGCTATTTATAGATCTTATACCAACCTGAACAATTTATGACATTCTTATAGTTTCAGAGATCATTACAATGCCAAAAGGAAGTCAACAGCTCTTGATTTCTGGCATTTAATATCATATACTAAGAAGAATATTATATATACCCAACAGAAAAGACACTACGTGGTACAGTCCAGTCCATATGGGTAATGCAGGCCAATCCCAACATCAAGCCAAATGCTGATGTAAATGGTCTTCATTAAGAGATCTATTGAAATTATTCAACAAAAAGCCCTGTTTTACCACCCCGGTAGCTAAATATGGAGTAGAAAAGATGGTGACTAATGGCTCAAAATCTGATTACTTAGTGGTTTTTGCAAAAACCGAGGAGTCTATAGAATATTATAATGTATCCATCTATATAATTGGTGGACTGCAACATGAACATACTAGATAAACCTGGTAATAGTAATCAATCTTCTCTTTTTTATAGGATGGCTACAGGTGAGAGTAAAATTGCTTTTATAAAAGATCACAGAGCACATCACTGAAAACAAGCACAGGCTGAGTCTCTTTATTGAACAATTTAAAGAAAAGGAAAAAACAAAAATTAACTCAATTACCTGCAGCAGCCTCCTTGCATAGCCACCCTCCATTATACGGGCAAAAGAAGATGCATGAGAATACTTGTTCCCTTCGAATTCATGATAAATATCTGGATGGGCATCTAGATGTAGAATATCTATAGGTCCTCCAAGCTTTTCAGACACAGCTCTTACAACTGGGTAAGATATTGAATGGTCACCACCTAACACCATCGGACGCAAAGGTTCCTGCCAATAAAATAATCAGAACAAAATAATTTCAAAAAAATTCAAGAGGGTCATATCTTCACCTCTGAAAATAAACTATACAACGAGTGGAAACAAGATCATGGTTGAAGAAATAATAAGCTGTAGATAGGATGAATGAGCATCATGTATACATGAACATGTGAGCTACCATGATGATCATCAGACCTTGCCCTTTTTTTATTTATGCATTTTCTTTTCTTTTTTTTTTGGAACGTGGGTTCAATTGCCAATAAGATCAAACTCGACTCTACAACAATGTATATATTACTATTAGTGGAATTAAAAAAATTAAGTATCCCCCATGCATGAAAATAAAAGGTGTGATCATGCTTGTGCAATATCTGTAAGTGAAAGCTGGAAAAGATTTTCTATATGTAAAATCAAAGCTCAAGGAAACAACAGGTTACTTGTACGTTGGGAAGATTTTAAGAGATGACTTACTTCTTCCATAACTAGCTTGACTGACTGACTGATAATGTTCATCAGTATATCATCATCCACTCCACAATCTCTGATCTCTTGAACAGGAAGATCGCCTACATCTGTTAGGACTCGAGGGTTATCTATTTCTTTTCCTGCATAATGTCACAGTTTTAGCGGCAAGCAATTAGCATATAAGTTAAACAAATGAAAGGTAGAAAGTCTATATCAACATCTTCAACATGTTCCCAAATTCTCATAGCATAACATATGGTACTTACTTTCAGATGTGAGTTGAATTGAAATCGAACAAACCAATTATATATGAAATCAAACCTTCTGATTACAGAAAGTTATTATCAGTTAGCTGATCCTGCACACACATGAGGTTTTAAATGGTTTCCATGAATACTTTTTCATTTTAATTATTTTATAGAATATAATTTTTTTTAAATCTTAGAAAAGGTAATATAGAACTAAAAAGAGAAAACAAGGTGTCCTCGTAAATAAACTCTGTTAAAAGTTACAGATTACCAAATTTTTTTAGTTACAGGGTACATGATATTTGTCTTCAAAAAAAAAAAAAAAAAAAAAAGGTACATGATATTTATCAACAATGGATAATCAGAGATGACATTACCTCCTTCGGTTGTAGCATTTGTGCTTCCACACCACATTGCCTCCCTAATACGTGGGGGTGCAAAAGCAGGCCCTTGGAGAAATGAAGAGTTATGCCCCAGAGGTATTCCAAGAAGTGCAGATGTTGCTTTGGCTCCTCCCAAGGCCCGCACAAGCTCGCCCTAGAAACAACAATTAAAATGGAACAAATTCACACACACTAGTGCGAGATTTAATCATCCATTCTAGAAGATAACAAGGCAGAGCAATAAGGAATAAACTCAAATAAGGACAGTAATCATCAGTTCATCACTGTATGTGGATAGCTGAACTACCTTGAGCTTCGCCTTCTCACGAATGAGGGTGAGGGAGGCATCTATTACTCGATTTTGGCCTTCAACGATCATATCTTCAGGAATATTTGCTCCATGCAGTCTCCGCATGAAATGAATCCCCCTCCTTGCAACCTGCTGCATGACTAAAGAAGGAAAACTGCACATGTAAAAAGAGAGAAAACATTTAAAACAGCACATGTATACATATAAATTTTTTCAAACTCAATTATTAACGCAACAAACACAATGTTATACGGAGTAGCAGATTATAAAATAACAACTCCTTTCCTGCATTGGCTGCATGTATAATAGATCTATCAGATTATCATCTCCACCATATAGATCATTAAGATCAATCAAAAACTTCCATGTGTAAGCAGTCACAGCTTTCAAACCATTATTTATCACCCTAAAACATGATGTAAAATCACTTTATTTACTAATTTATCCCTTGAGATAAAAACTCAAAACAAAGCATATTTCTAACTCTTGAGATGTCCATTTTGTAAAGGTGCTAATATCATCCCCCCACCCCTTTCCTAAGGGAAACAAGGATTGATCTCGAATTTCAACATTTATTAACAGTGAAATAAAAAAGGTACAGAAGAATTTATTTGCCAGAACCATCCATTCACCATGCCCTTGCTATCCGAATAATCTAGCATTCTAGTGTACTGATCATTTCAACATGACCCAAAATTCCTAGAGGTGATCAAAGTGAGCCCGACCCGATGTTGGACAGGTTTTCCTACCCGTCCTTTTTTTTTTTTTGGCAAGCTAAGGGTCTGTTCTCTTCGGCTTAATTCACTTCATCTCCAATCTCCAATCAATTCAGTTCCTAATTTCCTTCTCTCATAAACAATTCATTTCAGTTTAGTTCAACTCAGCTCTAATTAGTTCAGTTCAGTTCAACTCACTTGGGTAAATCAGAAGAGACCCTAAGCAATTTTATGCAATTTTAGTTGGTTTTTTTGGCCCAGCCCGAAAAGGCCACACGACCCGTCTAGTTTGGGCACATAATTTCTGGCCGGAGGAGTGGGCTGATTTTTTACCTCGGCCCAGCACGCTCAATGACCATTTCTAAGAATTCTAACAACCATTAATTGGGATATGCAAAATGCATAAATTAATGTTGAATATTAAGTAAATGCCGCAACTGATAGCTTAATTTGTACGTAGTAACTTTACAATTCAGGTATCCAAAATTAATCAGGCAGACAATTGATACAATAAAATAAATTCGAAATCTAGGGTTGAATCGGACTGAATTCAAACTTCCAGTACCAAAAACTAGCAATACCCAGAAAAGTAATCATGAAAATTTCCAGAGAATTAATAACCAAAACTAAATAATAAGACATAATAATTGTTTATAGCACAAAGAATTAGTTGAAACTTATAAATAAATAATTTTTGTATTACCCTTATAAAATTGAACTTGAGAAGTTAAGATTCTTAAAAATCAGAAGAAAAAGTAAAAGAATTGTACCTGGTAAAATGGATGAAGAAGAAAGAGAAGTAGCTGAAAAAGGAGAAAAAGGCTTAGGAATTTTGGGAGGAGAAAGAGAGATTGGAATGGTTTAAATAGTTGGCAATGGCAGCAGAGGTAAAGGACTAGAGGAGGTGGAGTTAGCCAATCAAATTCTGTATTATTCTACTCCGTTGTTCGTACTCCACGTTTTGGTTTTTTTTTTGTTGCACACGAGGGCTGAGGGGCTAACCCCGGGGGAAAAACTACACGTTTTTTTAATTTAAGGGAAGATAGAAAAAAACAAACACATGTTATATTATCTCTGTTTCATATTATCACAACGATTAGACATTTTTTCTCTCTATTTTTATGTCAAATTGTTGCAAATAATATGAAACGGAGGTAGTAAATAGAACACAGAAAAGTGAGTACTCATAATCATAGAACATTAGAACTTAAATAGAAATTGTTTTATAAACATAAGTGTATTGTACCTTGAGCTAGGGTATGTTATCTTCAGCTTAATTTCATTTCAATTCAGCTTTAATCAGTTTAGTTCAATTCAGTTCATTTGAATAAATTAGAACAGACCCTTAGTTGGGTGTAGGTACACCCGGGTATATATAACAATCTCTCGTTCTTAAAAGGACGATATATTTTTTTTTTATTTTTTTATTTTTTTTTAATAATGAGAAAAGGAAGTCTAGTTCCCAACAAATCCAATATTAGAAGTCTACAAGTATTGCAATAGAAGTACTAGTTTTACTATACTCTATAACGGTATTACCCACCCTGCTACAAGAACGAGAAATTGGAGAAAATAATAAAATATGGAGGTAATAAAATACAAAGAGAATTTAAATTTAAAACATGATTTATGTTGGGTCCATTAATTAAGAGAAATGCATTAAGGAAAATGCTATATATATGTGTGTGTGTGTGTGTGTGTGTGGCCCTTAAGGCTACATATAAGCATAAAATTTAATAAAATTTATAAATTAAATATTGTAAAAGCTTTTCAAACAAGGAAATAAAACAAGTATTAAAAACCAACCACAAATGAAAAGTGGAGCAAGTATTCAAAAACGAGGAAGTAGTTTTATTGTACTATATTACCCACACTAATACAAGAAAATAAACGTAGGGGGTACAAAAATTTGTATATTTGTTAAGAAGTATAAATATGGGGTTTGACAATTCCCTTCATGTATGCTTGATTGAGTTGATTCCCTTGTCATTAAAATCGAAAGTGAGGCGAATAATAAAGAATGAAAGAAGTAAATCATATTTAGCTAAAATTAGACCCGGTATAACAACAAGGGCAGAACATCACGAGGCCGATGTATGACAACTCTGTCTTTCAATTATTTGTAAATCCATTCACAGGTGTGTAACTCAAACCCTGTTTAGTTTACCTGATTTTTGTTGATCTAATCTGTTCCGATCTGATATGATCTTATTGTCTGATTTGACCAATCTTTAACCTTAAATGTTGATAATTAAGGTAAAAATATATCAAGTGAGATCTTGTTAGATTCGTAATAATGTGTATTTTATGAATATGTAATTTTTGTAATTATGAAACTAAACATATTTAGCGATTACAAATTGCACATAAAACAATGATTTGATCTGAACTTATTTTTCTGGTCTGATCTGAACTTATTTTTTTTAAAATAAGTAAAAATAAGGTGAACTAAACAAGGCATCAAAACAATGGTTCGTGGATTTTGGGAGCCAATTGCTGATGAAGGTAAAGCTTTGGTGCAAGCTGTTAAGTTAGCTAGCAGATTTAGACTTAAAAATGTGATATTTGAGTCTGACAATTCATCCATGTTTCGAAAACTCTCCAAGACGGACATCTATTTAATTGACATCGACTCGATCCTTGAAAACATTCTATTTTTCTCCCGTAGTTTTGACTATGTATTTTGGTCTCATGTCAAAACAGATGGGAACTTTGTAGCTCATCATCTTAAAAAGCTTATTCCATTTAGTCTTGAATAAGTATGGGTAAATTATTGTCCTTGTGAGCTTTTCCCTTATGTTTTGATAGACTAGAGGTCCTTAAATTAATATAATCGACTTCCGATAAAATAAAAAAAAAAAAAAAAAACCTCAAACCAACTAAAACTCGAACGAGTCCAATCTACAACAAAACTCAACCGTCATTACAAACCGTTAAGTTTCAATTGTCTAGAACATACTCAAAATTACGAAATTTTCCCACGAATATTTTATTTTCCTAAAAAATCCTTTATTTTCCATATTCAACGCAATGCAATGCCACCATTACATCTTCCCCAGATTCTCACTCTCTCTCCACCGTCATCACCACCATCTCTTCAGCCTCCATTCCATCAGAAAATCAAACCCTAATTCCAGAATTCTACTAAAAATGTCACTCTCTTCTTCATCTTCTTCAATTTCAGAGGAAGAACTCAAACAACAGCAAAAATCCCACCATTTACAAACCTTACAATACCATCAACAAACCAAACACCATTTCACCAAATTCGCAAAAGGGCCGGGTCGTTTAGATTGGGCGAATCAACCCAATCCGTTTCGAAGATACATTGATGCTCCATTAATTTCTCTCCAACATTTTCCAATTGAAGAAGATGAACAACAATTTTCAGGTGGGGTTCCTTTATATTCCTCTGTTTTTCTCTCTCTTCCTCCTCCAAAACCCATTTCATTTTCGTCAATTTCTCAGTTGTTATATGATTCTTTAGCTTTATCTGCTTGGAAAACTACTGGGTTTTCAACTTGGTCTCTTAGGGTGAACCCTAGTAGTGGGAATTTGCATCCTACTGAGGCTTATATTGTTGCTCCTGCAATTGGGGGTTTGTCGAATTCTGGGTTTGTGGCTCATTATGCACCTAAAGAGCATGGATTAGAGATTAGGGCTGAAATTCCAGCTGGGTTTTTTGATAGAGGTTTTCCAGATGATTGTTTTTTTGTTGGGTTTTCATCGATTTTTTGGCGGGAAGCTTGGAAGTATGGAGAAAGGGCGTTTAGGTATTGTAATCATGATGTTGGGCATGCTATTGCTGCTGTTGCTATTGCAGCTGCTGAGCTTGGTTGGGATGTTAAGTTGCTTGATGGGTTAGGGTTTGATGACTTAGAGAAGCTGTTTGGGTTTGAATCTTTCCCTAAATTGCCAATTCCTAGTCGCCCCGTTAAGGGTAAGTTCTCCGGGATTGAGTTTGAGCACCCGGATTGTGTATTGGCGGTGTTTCCCCGTGGGGGAGAAGAGGGGTTTGATGTGAATTTCAAAGATTTGAGCTCAAGGATATCGGAATTTTCGAAGTTGGATTGGAAAGGAGAGCCTAATGTACTGAGTAAAGAGCATGTAGTTTGGGATATTATCTATAGGACTTCGGAAGCAGTAAAGAAGCCCCTATCAGTAGGGGAGAGTGTAATTATTGATCCTTTTCAATGCAGTGGTGTATGTAGTGATAGCTCTTATAAGGGATTAACAGTTAGGGAGGTGGTTAGGAAGAGGAGGAGTGCGGTCGATATGGATGGAATAACTGTTATTCATAGAGATACTTTTTATCAAATTCTATTGCATTGTCTCCCCTCCGGATCAAGGAGCGGAGAGAAGCAAGGCAAACAGTTGGCATTGCCATTTAGGGCTCTCTCTTGGGATAGTGAAGTACATGCTGCTTTATTTGTTCATAGGGTGTCAGGTTTGCCTAAAGGTTTGTATTTCTTGGTGAGAAATGAAAATCATTTAGATGATCTAAGGAATGCTATGAGGCCAGAGTTTACTTGGAGGAAACCTGAGGGTTGCCCTGTCGACCTTCCTCTTTATGAACTTGCACCTGGTGACTGTAAGGAGCTTTCGAAAAGACTTTCCTGCCATCAGGTACTGTTGCAAAATTAGCAATTTGTTTTTTCTTATTTTCATGTTGTGAATTGAAGTTGCTATTGATGTAAAAGGATCTTATTGGTTTAGTTAGTAATTGTTTGGATACATATATTTTAATTTCCGCAAAAAAGTACTAATTTTTTCCCTACACGTCACAACATGTAGTCTGACCTGTTCACCGTTATGTATTGACTCCTGTGTTGGTTATACCCCTTTGAGTGAATGAAAGGAAATTAGCAGAAGCTACTTAAACCATCTCATATGAGTTGACAATATTTGCAGTTATGCGTTTTCATAGATTAGGATCTGTTGTGCCGAGTCGAACACTGCTATAAAGGATTTAGGCAGAATCATAGGGGGAAAAAAAGAGGGAGAGAGAAAGAAGTGAAATGACAATCAATTTACAGAATTCTTAGACTTATATTATTGTAGCATTTTAGAATTCTTTCGAACTCAATTCTTGAATCTACATCTGGATTTGAACACAGGACATTGCTGGAGATGGATGTTTCAGCCTTGGCATGATATCGCATTTTGAGCCTACATTGCAGGCAAAGGGTGCATGGATGTATCCTCGGCTTTTCTGGGAGACTGGTGTTCTAGGACAAGTGCTTTACTTAGAGGCTCATGCAGTGGGTATTTCTGCCACTGGAATTGGCTGTTTTTTTGATGACCCTGGTAATGATATAAAATTTCCCCTTCATGCTCTCCTATTTCTTTGTATTGGTCCTCTTAAATTGTCTTTAAATCTAATTACTTAATATAGCTTGACTGAAATTTGGAGAATTGTTTGAAATTGGATTTCCCTGTTGCTTGAGTTGTTCGAGAGATTGCTAAACGTTGCCACTTTGTGTCACTGGACCCTTTAGGCTCGTTGAAAAGGATTAAAAAGTGTATTTTCTTCTTCTTCTTTGTTGCATCATTACTCTATCAGAATAAAAAGTTTTAAAATTAGGTCAGGACTTAGGAGACCTTTAGTTTCATTCAGCAGAAATTAGGTTTACAGTTGCTTCTTTTCTGTGCTATCTCAAGATCCCAATCATATTTCTTAGTGATGTCTTGCATTACTAACTGTCAATATATGATGTCTCTGCCATTGGACACGAATCTGTATTACAAAAAATTATTGGAAGCTAATTTAGTAATTGGGTAATGATATACGTATCCCTTGGGGCTGAAAATAAGCATTTAATATCTTTCACAAATTGATCTTTTTTATTAGTTTAGGATTGTAAGACAAATTCATTCGTCTATCAGAATTCTTAGACTTATATCATTGTATGCTCTTGGCTCCAATTCATACCTTACCTTGAAATCTCAGGTTGAACCATTGAAGTATTTACAATTATGAAGCAAGTTACAATCTTTTGTGACATATTGTAGACAGTAGACTTACCTTCCTATTGTATTTAATTTAGGTAAAAATTATTGTAAAACAGCTAGCAAATATTAAGAGGGTTGGGAGAATGTGAAACAAAAAATGTCATGAAGGCAGTTGGTGCTAAAACTAATTAAAAATAAATAAATACTAATACTAAAAACCTTTTGATTGTAGATTTGTAGGATGAAGTTTTTTTTTCTTTTCGAATTGCAACTTTGCAAGTATAGTTAATAAGTCCCGTAATTTGTTTCAGTACATGAGGTGCTTGGCCTGAAAGGATCAGATTATCAAAGTCTTTACCACTTCACAGTTGGAGGTCCAGTAATTGACAAGCGAATAATGAGCCTACCTGCATATCCAGGGCCTGAGATTGATGCATAGTCTATATTTTCTGGCTGCTTGATCTAGTTCTAGAAAAAAGCTGACAGGTTGTATGTTCCTATGACCTTTGTACATACCCGCTGTAACAGAGTTTGACGTATATGTAATATCTCCAAGAATTCCATTGTCAACTAGTGCCATGAGGTCTTTGGCCAGAGGTAATCAGACTATTGCAGGCTTGCAGCTGAGAAGTTATTAATGATCTAAGCTGCATATCCAAGGCCGTAGATTGATGCATAGAATCATACCTGTATGGCTGCTTTATCAAATTGTAGTAAATGAAAAACAATGGTTATACATTCCTTTGACTGTTGTAGATTGTATAGCAAAATTGTACTTGATTACCATGCGAAAATAAAGTTTGGCATGTGCTGCTGTATGTGTATTTGAGTAATTCAAACTTCGCAGAGTTTATTAGGAGATGATATTGCTAATGGCCTGACTTCTTTATTGAGAACACAGGAAGTATTCATCGGGTAAAAAGCTGCACCAACAAGCTGGCTTGTGCTAAACACCAGGCCCGGCAGCAGGGGGAGATCTTATTCGAGACACCTTGACTGCATTATTCCTTTTCTTCAACATGAAGTCGTGAAGATTGAGTTGGAGTGGCTAGGCCACTTCTATATGACTATATATATATAGACTGGATAACAGATATGTTGATATTCTCTTTGTTTAGTACTCCGTACTAGCAAGGGGGTAAAGTAGCAAAATTTGAACTGTAACTAGCTTGATGCAGTACACACCCATGACACGTTGGCACGTTGCAAAAGCATCGCATAATTTGCCTAATTATAAGGCCTCGATTGAGGATGACTACGAATGATCATGATATCCTATAAATTTTGGGGGAAATGGTTAAGGTAAAGGTTGCTACTGCCAGTTTTGAGAAGTTCAAATGTTGGGGGAAAATGATATGTTAGTAATATACTAGACATGGTATTTCAAGTTGTTGGCCTTTAAAGGTTGCTAACTTGCTACTACGCCTGCTAGCAGTTTTGAGAAGTTCAAATGATTTTTTTTTTGGGTTGTTGCAAGAAAAGTAGAAAACCACAAAAAAAATAAACTAATATAAGCATTTGCGACTAGGTTGATGGAATTTTTTGTTATTTATGGGTTAATTGTCGCATGAGATTATTTTTTTACCAAATTGTCGCTTAGGGCTTAATTTTTTACTTTTTTTACCAAATTGTTGCCAAAGTTATTTTATTTTTTCCAAATTGTCGCTAAAGGTGTTTTTTATTTACCAATCTGATCAATTGGCTATGCATTTTATCGATTTACGAGTATATCAAACCAATCAAGCCTGTAATAGAAAAGTGTTATGACTTATGACCATTACAAAACGACATCATAATGAGAATGGATTATAAAAACACCAATGAATGCTGATTGTTGATACGGAGCATTATTTAGATCTGACGGTTGGTATAATGCGCATCATTAATCATCTTTCATGTTTTCAATTTTTTTTCCCTTTTTCGAGCTTTTCACTAACGCTGCACCTTTCTCTCTCCTCTATTGAAGTGGCTTCCGAGCTCTCCATTGAAGTGGCTTCTTAGCTTTCTCTCCTCCATTAATACTGCTTCTGAGGTAAGATGTTTTCAAATTTATAATCATCGAATATTAATTTCACGATCTAGGGTTTTAATTGCACACTATCGTTAACTTAATTGTCCAATTTAGGGTTCTTCTATGGTGAATTTTTGAACAATTGATTATAAATTACTGAGTTTATGAAAGATTATATCCCGAATTTGTTGCTAGTATTTTCTTTTTGCTATTTACGTTGATAATCTTAAGCGGAAATGATTTCATGTGATTTATTTCAACCCTAATTTGATAATTAAGTCAAATTTGGTTGCTAATGTGTTGCATTTTTAGACTAATTGATCCGAAAATAGCCTTTCAAGCTCGAACCGAGTCTATTCCTATTTGGGCTTGTTTCGAACCCTAAATTGAACCCTTAATGACCATGCCCTGGGCGGCCTAGGATCTAACATTAGGGATTGGAGAAAGAAACCAATTTATATTGGCTTAGATGAATTTAATGCATTCAATGGTATGATAGTCTGGTAAATGCTAATTGGGTTTTGTTATATTGCCATTGTTAGGCATTCCTAGGTCACTGTTAAATATCGTTGATCATCGATTATAAGCCGGTTTTGTTTCGACTTTGAGTTGTGTTCCATATGCTAATGGCTGAATTATCAGTGATGAAATGAAATGTCGGTTTATTTTAATACTTTATTGGATTCAAATTGTCCCTCTATATAATTATGGCTTTGTGAATTGTGCGAATAATTCTTGCAGTTGTTGCTCTGGGGAGAGCGGTGTTTGTTTGACCACCTGTTCTTTTGAAGTAGCTATGCTACCCAGTGAAGTGAAGGAAAGTCAACTCCGTGAGAGCAATAGCCAGAAAGTACACCCTCAACCAATGGAGGAGGCCATGAATCAAAGTGTCGAAGCTATAGATGCTCTAATATCAAGGATTTTTAATAATATTTCCTCTTTGAAGACAGCTTATATCCAGCTTCAATCAGCTCATACTCCCTATGATCCTGATAAAATTCAAGTTGCTGATAAACAAGTCATTGCAGAGCTGAAGAATCTATCAGAGCTTAAGCATTTTTACCGGGAAAACAATCCCAAACCTATGTGTGTGTCTCCTCAAGATTCTCGGTTAGCTGCAGAGATCCAAGAGCAGCAAAGTTTATTGAAGACATATGAGGTCATGGTGAAAAAGTTCCAATCAGAAATTCAGAACAAAGATTCCGAGATAAATCAGTTGCAGCATCAGATAGAAGAGGCTACTCAAAAGCGAGAGAAACTCGAAAAGAATCTTAAGCTTAGGGGCTTGTCAACAAGAGATTCAGAAGCTTCTGGAGAGCAAAATGGATTTTTCCCTGTGGATTTAACTCCTGATCTGTTTATTTCAACTGTAGAATCTGTATACAAAGCTATCCATGACTTTTCAAAACCATTGATTAACATGATGAAGGCAGCTGGTTGGGACCTCGATGCTGCAGCTCAGTCGATTGAACCAAGTGTTGTTTATGCAAAGAGATCTCACAAGAAATATGCATTTGAATCATGCATATGCCAAAGAATGTTTTTGGGATTTCAACAGGAAAGTTTCACAGAGAAACCGGAAGATCTTTCAGTGAACAGAGAGAGTTTCTTTCACCAGTACCTTGCTTTGAGAGAAATGGATCCCTTAGATGCTCTGGGTCAGAATCCTGATTCCATTTTTGGTAAATTCTGCAGGAGCAAGTATCTAATATTGGTACACCCCAAAATGGAGGCCTCCTTCTTTGGTAATTTGGATCAGCGGAACTATGTGATGGGGGGTGGACATCCTCGCACCCCTTTCTACCAGGCCTTCTTAAAACTGGCAAAATCAATTTGGCTCTTGCATAGACTCGCACATTCTTTTGACCCAAGTGTCAAGGTATTTCAAGTCAACAAGGGAACAGAGTTCTCTGAGGTTTACATGGAAAGTGTGGTGAAAAACCTGGTACTTGATGAAAGCGAGCAAAAACCAAAGGCAGGGTTGATGGTTATGCCCGGCTTTTGGATTGGTGGCATAGTAATTCAAAGTAAAGTTTACTTAACAGGCATGAAAGTGGCTGAGTGAGTATTCTCTTTGACGGTTAGATCACAATCCCATCGTGCTATTCAATATGTAATTTATTGTTGTTTACTTTACTGTATGTTTAAGTGTATCCTTGTAGTTGCTGGTTGCTCTGTTCGTAGTGCCTTCTACGGAGTAATTAGCAATTTAAGCTACTATTATTAGTTAATAGTTACCCTTCATCCTTAAATAATTGTTCCTAAATTTTTTTTTACTACTGGTTAATTGTTATGTAATTCTCACATTTGGAGTACCCTAATGGCACATGACCGAAAGACTCTATTCTTTATACTTTGGTTATCATCAAACTCCCTTGAGTAGGGAAAAAGATAGGAATTACTTGAATTAACATTAAACGAGTGACACCTAAAACACCCTTAAAAAAATTGTTGGCTGTATCAAATATTGGGACACTGACCCTTATAATATGGGGTACATTGAGTAATATTGATCTCATTGACTAGTCTCTCTTGTTCCAAGTAGCACGTGCATATACCAGTATCTGCTAGTGCAAGCTGAAGCACATGCTTGCATTGCTTACACCTGATGTTGTCTTCCATGTATCTGGTTGTGTATTCTGGTTAGTTGCTAGAAACTTCTTCAAATTAATTATTTGCCTTACTGCCACCAAGCTTTGGCATGGTCTAGTGGTGCAAACTCCTTGCTTCAACCTCGATGTCTTGAGTTTGAATCCTCGGGTAGGTTAGGTCTGTGACTCTGCTCTAGCGAATGAAAGGAGTTTATCTTAGTTCGCAAAATGGACTGATTTTGTGCATTTATACTATTTTACTTCAAATTCCTGTTAATAAGGTTACGAGTTCACCCTATTATTTGCGAGATATAAAATATTTCAAAGTTGTACATAATATTTAACGTAGGTTTACTTCAAAATCATGTAAATAAGGTTACGAGTCGATCTTGTTAAAATGAGGTCGGGAAAAAAAGATGGATGGGGAAAGGAAATAGGGTGCTTGTGTGTTACTCCGAGTAACATACTAACATATACTTCTTATACACTAAATATAGTAGCATGAACTCATGAAGTACTGCTTCTGTTGGCTAATAATTTTTCATTTTGATATATTTTTTTTTAATAATAAGTAGTTGACAGACAGATGGAGGTAGATGCAAGCTTGGCGGTTAATGTCGGAGTAATTATTCATGCTATTGGTCTTAATTTTGCTAGCATTATGGTATTATGAGATACAATGGATATAAGTACTTAGCACCTTTGCTTGTATTTGAAGTGATTACCACAAATATTTGAAGGTGATATATGTGAATTATTAAGACTGTTTTTTCTTCTCTATTTAGATAAGACCCAAATTTTATTAAAATTCCTTTTAGATAAGACCCAAATTTTTTGAAAAAAAAAAAAATAATTTTTTAAAGTTTGGCATCTCTATCAATTTATAATTTTATATGGACACTTGCTTAATATATACTTCCCTTATGAGGATACCTAATGTTCTTTTTCTTACCTTAATTTAAAAAAAATACTATACTAGTGTAAAACTGTAAATGCATTATAGAGATGTTCATTTGAAAAAAAAACACACACACACACAAAAACTATTCTTGTACTCCCATTTTAGGGTAATTAATTGTTTTGTGATCCCATTTTTAAGATTTGGGATAAATAAAATATATGGATTTTTTTTATTTTTATTTTGTACGAGTGTTGGATTATGAGAATTGTACTATTAGTGTGTTCTGGTTAAAAGTTTAAAAAAAAATTAAAAAAAAAATCTAAATAATGTACTTTGTATTAAATGTGTAAATTATAAACCACTTGCTGGAAAAAAATCATAAAAATTCTGCACTCTTATGCTGCTATATGCTGTATATAATAATTCTCCTCACTTTGAGGCTTTGAGCTGGTTTTTAATCTTTTTCCTTTCAATAATTAAATTATTAGCTTGTTTGTTACTATTGAGAAACCCTAGATTTAACATCTCAATTTCTTATGTACCCAACCATATTATTAACTTATTTTTTTCCAAGGGATCTTGCTTACCAGATTTTTATAGATGCGTATACCTTGACATTTTATATAAAATGAATAAAAAATTATATAGAATTAGAGAGATCTATTACAGATCTTTCTAGGTCTCCTTCTTAGTAACAAGATTCATATAAATAATTAGTAAAAGATCCATCTCTTAAGTATATCATATATAGTGCTTTGACCTTAAGCTAAGCTCAATTTGCACTTAATTATGCACATGGGATTACCTTCAACAATTGACCCTAAACTAAAGCTGGCATATAATTAAGACACTAATTTTTTCCTTCTATATATACACCTTCTCACCCTTCTAATATCTCTCAAACACCACCTCCAAAATCATTCATTCATTCTAACATCTTCAATACTTCATAAGAAATATCACCATATATCAACCTAATGGCAAGATACACCATTCCCTTCTTGTTGGTATCGATTTCTCTCCTCCTCCTCGCAAGCAATGTTATGAGTTGTCGTCGGTGTTCTAGGGCTAGAGCCTTCACTATCATGTCATGTAGTGCCACTAGCTTCCCCAAAGTGTGTGAAGAGTCCCTAGCAAAATTTGTTAACTCAACCAACCTTGGCCATTTGCAACTAGCTCAGATCGCATTGAGAGTTAGTATAACTGAGGCTAAATTTACAAGATCCTACTTGACCAAATTGGCTAGTAGGCTTGAAATAGCCCATTTGGAAGAGGCCCAAGCCATAGTTGATTGCATAGACCAAATTAATGATAGTGTTGCCCAACTTAGATTATCATTAAAGGAGCTCCGAAAATGTACCAACAAAGTTGGTGTTGATGATTTTATGTGGTATATGAGTAACGTCGAGACTTGGGCTAGTACTGCCCTTACCGATCAAATTAATTGTGCCGCGACTTTTGAAGACAACGTTCATGGGAAGATTGTAAGGAATATGGTTAAGGCAAAGGTTGAAGGCGTTACTAAGGTCACAAGTAATGCTTTGGCTTTGGTTAATCGCTACGTTACAAGACATCGTTTTTCTCGTAGCACCCATCGTCCTTAATTAAGATGGACGTTTTTGTGATGATCATTTTGTTTGCATGGCTAAATGTTCGTTACTAATTAGTCTTATATATACTAAAGTAATTATTATTTCATGGATTTTTAGTTGTATTTTTTTCTGGATCTACAAATGCTTTGTTTGTTGTCTTTACTACAAAGTTTACGCGACCTACAAAGTAAGATGTATAATGATGGAAAGATTGTAATTATTGGTAATATTAGCAAAGTTTTGTAATAATGATATTATATGAAATCGTATGCAAATTGCAACAAAAGGTGGCACTTTCTACTCTATATAAAGTTTGAATGAAGTATGTATCTATGAATTATGAACAATAAGCATTTTCTAAAATCGCTACATCGTGTAAACGTTTATGTTAGTTCATGCTTGAACATATCCCTCGAGCATCTTGATCATGTCTTTTTTTTTATTTTTTATTTTTTATTTACAAAGTTCCAAAGAATTACGTGATGTTGATCATCTTGTTATTACGTGATGTTGAGTTGCATTAGATGAACTTGGAAGTGTAACTTATCTTACAAAAATAGTTATAATGTATTATTCATACCATATGGCTTATAAAAAAGAATTAGTCATATCGATGTACGGAGTACAAAGTAATTTACATATTATTGCGTGATATAATTGTACATGTACATAGTAAATAAAGGGCGGTGATTTGTATTATACGGATCGAGTAATAGCTTGGTATATGATACGAAGTCATGGTGTAAGACCAAACTAGTAAAATGTGACCTGTTATATGAAAACTTAAACATGTAACTCCAGTAAGTTGTGCAAACATTTTTTTATTTTTTATTTTTTATTTTTTTTTGGGACAAAGGAGTTGTACAAACATACAGAATAAATAACGTTGAGTTAAAAGTAGATTTTAGTTTAATTAGTTGGTAAATTGAACAAAGTCAACGATGATTACTCCTATGTAGAACTCAAGTTGCGCATGCGCAGCCACGTGATGTTAGAATCCTCCCAGAAAAGAAGGTGGAGAAATAAGAAGCAATCACAGCTGTGAAAGAGTTGTTCTAAGGAAGGATACTAAATTTGTTTCATTTGCACACTTTTGTTTGTTATTAGTCTAGCTTAACTAGAAAAAATAACTATGTATAATTCTTGCTTATTTTAATTACAATTGTCTTTGACTATCTAGCTTAATCTCCACCCATGTATTAAAGTGCAACAACATTAAGTAATTAACCTTAAAATGTGGCAACTCGATGGAATTAATTATTTGAAACCTTGATAATTACTTGTATAGTTGTATTTATATGGGATGTAAAAGTTGATTATATTAATGCGAAAAAGGGTATTGTTAAATTTAATTTCAAGTATCCCAATTTCATGAATTTTGAGAAAAAAAAAAGGTGAAATTGTTTGGTTGATAAATTATGACAATTACACTTTAATTATATAAGGTTTAATTTCCCACAAATATGGATAAAGTAATTTTCCTTGATCTTTCAATGTAACCGTGTAAGTGAAACTTTTTATACTCAACCAAACACCTACCGGCAATTCCTAATTAAGTGTTGAAATTACAATAGAAAATACACTATATGTAATCATACTTCTCATATCTAATCAAACAAGCAAATGATTTGAGATTGTTTTAGTGTTTTTTAACTTCGCATTTAAACCCTATGAGAAAATCAAACCTACAAGTTTTGATTGGAGCAAAAAGTTCCTTAACATTATCACTAAATAAATCCAATAATGCGCAATAAACTCCAATTTGTCACTTGCCAACCAAATTCCACAAAAAAAAAAAAAAAAAAAAAAAAAAAAAAAAAAAAAAAACTGATATTTGTAATAGATGAAACTTCAAAACGAAAAAAAAATAAAATTGAAATAAGTTATTATCAATAAATTACCCTTTCAATGATGAATATACTAATAAACTTATGAAAATATTTTCATTAATAAGTTGTGACAGCTTTCCTAACACATGTATCTCAATTCTCAATTGTTACATAAGGGATAAACTAAGTCAAATAAGTTTAAATGAATATTACACTATTATCAACAAGTAATACACTAGGTTATAGTTAAGATTTAATCAATTTTCTCATGTACATGATAATTTATTTTTAGAACTTAAGTAGAAAAGTCTCTTATTGAGATCAAACATTGAAAAAGATGTATCAAGACCTAAACTTTATTATATGAGGCATGGTGGACAAATTTTGATTGATGAGTGAATCTTTAGTAGCAAGCTCAGGTAACATTAAGTGACTGAAATCGAGTTATATTTTGTAGTTTATTTTTTTGTTGAATTTGACTCATTATTTTTGTCCAATCTTATGTCATTTAAACCTCCCTTATATTCACTAAAATTTTTGTTAACTAGGCTCAATTTTTTCCTATAGGTGTTATTGGCGTGGCGGACAGAAGCAAAACAAACCTTTCTAACCACGACATATTTCGAGAATTGTTAACTCAAAGTCTTTCAATCCAAAGTTTCAAACCGATTGCATAGCACATAACCCAAAATTTCAAACATATCGGCCTCAGACATGACCTGAACCGAATCAACCTTAATCGTACCCATTTCAAGTTTTCAACCACCCAATCATTCACTCTAATATTAGGAACACTAAAGCCCAATAAAATTATAAACTCACTATCAAGTGTGTAACTGGTGGCGGGAAACAGAAACACGAGAAAAAATGGTGGTGATGGAAGATACAACAGCAGCAAAGCTTGACAACAATGGCGAAGAAGTTGCAAATGAGAAGGTTGAAGAAGATGACGAACACGATTGCAAAGAAAGGGTTTTGCAAAAGTACTTCCTTCAAGAATGGAATGTCGTCAAATCCATTCTCGACGACATCGTTTCCGCTGGTCGTGTCACCGATCTTTCTTCTGCTTACAAGATCCGCTCCATTGTAGTCTCTCTTTCCCTCTTTCAATCATTGATTATCTTTCCTACATTTGATTGTTATTTATTGTTGTTTTGATTCGTAATTTTGTTGATAGGAGCTGATTTTAGGGTTTTTTTTTGTTATAAATTGATTGTTAAAGTAAGTGTTGCATTTGAATGGAGCTGTTTTTTTTAATCAATGTATTGTGTTTTCATTAGTAATTAATCTGTATATGATGAATTTGATCTGCGTATTAGTTTCGTAGTAATTCAATTTAGTGATTACAGTTGCCTACCTTTATAGTTGTATTGGTTGTTCATTAGAGCTGATTATTTTTTTTTATAGTTGCGGTTATCTGAATTTGGCTTCCGTGTTGTCAGATGATTTCAAAGAGTGGAATAGCGTCAATGCGTGGATGTATAGGAATATTTTTCGACTTGTGTTGCAATGCCATTTTTTTTTGTTGAATTATGTAAAGGAAAACAAGAAATCAGTTGGGGACGGGTCAATAGGATATAATTTAGGTTCTGAGTGACATTATGGAGATTTATACAATTATGAGATATCTTTTGGATATAGATTTGTGAGTTGTTGGTAAGAGTAGAGATTAGTTGGGTTGGAAGAAAGGGGAGGGGTGGTCTTTGAACAGTTATACTGTTGCAAGGTTTCTTGTCTGGTCTGGCATTTATTTTGGGACTATAAATTACTAAGAATGGTAGGATTATGATTAATTTTTTTTTTATCAAGGAATATCCCAGTCAAAGTGTAGAGATTTTTCTCATAGTTCAAGTGATGTATCACTTGTGGGAATAAAATTCATACCTATCCACAGGGCCTCTCCTGATTTCTAAGATAATATCCACAGGCTACAAATGGTTCGATCTTCATTTAAGGGTGCTCGTCAATCTGTTATAAAGGCAATTACTTGATATTGTGGTAGCATCCTTATTTCAAGATGCCTCTTTTAGCACTCGTTTTTCTCCGTATTACCTCTTCTAATGTGCTAAAAACACCTTAGATATCTTCCTGTGCAATACTCTTGTGTGTCAGCATGGAGTTGTTTGCAGGACTCTGTAGCCATGGGATTGATAAAGAAATGTGAAAGCTTTAATTTCTCATAAAACCTTGTCAACATGGGGACTATGCTAGTCCCAGAAAATTTAATTTGGTTATAGATTATCCTGCAGGCTTATCCAATCCGGTCATTTTGTGGCCTTTTGTTGGTGTTTTAATATCATTTGTGAGGCTACCCATTATTTCTATTGGTCATTGACGCTGTGTTTCTTGCTTGCTTCTCCAAAGTACTGAAGATTGTTTAATTGTATTGTGTAGATGGACAAGTATCAGGAGGAAGGACAACTATTGGAGCCTTACCTTGAAAGCATAGTTTCTCCTTTGATGTTCATCATCCGTTCTAAGATAATTGAACTAGGAACAGAGTCTGACGAGATTCTTGAAGTGGTCAAGCCTGTTTGCATAATAATCTACACATTAGTTACTGTTTGTGGATACAAGGCTGTTACCAAGTTTTTCCCGCATCAGGTTTCTGACTTAGAACTTGCTGTATCTCTCCTAGAGAAGTGCCACTCTTCAAATACGACAACATCCCTGCGCCATGAAAGCACTGGAGAGATGGAAGCAAAATGTGTTATACTATTGTGGCTATCTATTCTTGTTCTGGTTCCGTTTGACATATCTTCAGTTGACACAAGTATTGCACAAACTGGCCATTTAAAAGGAGATGAGCCATCACCCCTGGTACTTAGGATATTGGAGTTCTGCAAGGATTATCTTTCAAATGCAGGCCCCATGCGTACCATTTCTGGCTTGCTACTCTCAAGACTTTTGACACGCCCTGATATGCTGAAGGCTTTTATCAGGTTTCTTCTTAAGATCACTCTTCTATTGATTAATGTTTCAAGTCTTTGAGTGGAAGAAAGAATAGGTGTATGCTAGGATGGAGATGCTGCTTGCGTGTGGGGTTGAGGATGATCTGATTTTCATCATCTTAGATCATACATCCTCTGTTAGCCTCTTGGCACGTAGTTCAAGAAAGATATTAGAGAAGGTAATTGTACAATTGAATCAAAATAAATCAAACCCTGATAAAAAGATAGTGTTGGTATATTAAGGTATAAAGTTAGTTTTATTAAGCTGTCTTTTAACTTCTCTAAAATCTTCCTAAACTGCGTGCGCTCCAGGTAAAATTGAGTAGGTGCCATAGATGATTTACTTATGCATATGGGCTGCAGATAGAGCAGTCAGAATATGAGATATCAGGGATCATCGTCAGGTTGCTTATTGTTTGAATCGGTGATTGGTGTTGCTCTGCTCTTAGATTTCTTGGATTATGCAGAGTGCATTACTTCTAATGAAATTTGGGTTGTTTGTATAACTAGATCGCTAGATGACTTTTGACTAGATGCAAATTTAGGTGAATTTTCTTCATTGTTGCTTACTTTTAAGGCCTTCCTCATTTTATATTTTTTGAGAGAATTCTAAGGAATGCAACACCTTTCCTCACATCTCTATTTTTAAGTAGTTGCGACTTGGAATGATGCCTCATCCATTACGAATCCCTTATTAAAAAATATTTTACAAAAAAGAAGAAAGATTTTAGATAAAGAAGTCACTTGTTAGGGGATAGAGTCCAGAAAAGAATTTTCTTAAAATGGAAGTTGAAATTACTGCATTCTGCAATTTGAAGAGAAGCTAGTGATAGGCTTACATAAAATTTCACATATAAAAAAAAATATTCTTGAGATGTCAATTCGTAGAATGGTTACTACCTGAGCAAATTTATAAAAGGACTATGTTGATTTGCTTTTAGGAGTTTGCTTAATAAGAGGCTGTATCAGCTGTCAACCCGAGAAAAGTTGTTAAAGAAATGGGAATTGCTAACTACCTGTTCAAATTTATGCATCAAACTTGAGAGTGACATGGAGTAGGGAGATTCCACTGAACAGGAATGCTTCCTGTCCCTATAGTTTATTTTGCATCTGAATGTGGCCATCCATGTGCTGTCCTACAACTCAAGCCGGTTGTGTATGATTAGCAAGCCTTGCGATTATAATTTCACAAGTAGTCCTTCTCTTTCTGCACCTATGGGGGGTATTTCCTGAGCTTTAGGTCATCAAATGAAAAGTAATGGGGAATTTGAGCGTAATGTGAACCTTCTCAGATACACTTTCTACCTAATATTAATTGTCATATCTAGGGCATTTAACAAGAATAAGTAATCAACATCTAGATTTGTTGCTTTACAACAGTTTTCTCTTAGCATTAGAAACTTGAAAAACATTTAGGGACATTTAATAAAGGAAAAAAAAGAAGAGAAATATCAGTTGACAGAGTGATTACTTTTAGGTGTTTTATAATGACTAACTTTTAGTTATTTTGTTACCCTTTTTCAATAAATCATCTTTGGTGTAATCTATTTTTGAACATGTTTGACTTGCTTCTTGATTTGATCTTTGAAGGAAAAATTAACCACTCAACTCAATGGAATTATAAAATCTGATTTGTTTTTCAGCTTCACTGAATGGACCCATGAAGTATTGTCTCTGTCATCTGATAATGTCATGGAGCATTTCCGTTTGCTTGGTGCTGTGGAAGCTTTGGCTGCCATTTTAAAGGTTGATTCTTGCTTATTATACTGGTTTCTCTTTATTGGCTGAACTATTGTTTTTATTTTTTTGTTGGTTGGTAGTTTGGGGAGAGGGGGTAGGGGAGGGGATCAAACAATTGGCATGCCTAGAAGGACTTTTAGAATTGATATTTGCTATACATCTAACTGGGGTGTCTAATAACTCTGTTAGGATCTGAATTACTCCATGTTATTCTTAATTCCTCTTTCTTTAGGACTCGAAACTGAATTTGCCACACAGTAATTTACAGATAATGTTTGATGCAGGCTGGTAGCAGAAAAGTCCTACTTGATGTGGTTCCCATTGTCTGGAATGATGTATCTGCCTTGATGAAGTCCAGTGTGGCAGGGAGAAGCCCTTTGCTTCGCAAGTATCTTGTAAAGCTAACTCAGCGTATAGGTCTTGTTTGCCTTCCTCATCGTTCTCTATCTTGGCATTATAAGGTCAGGACAGCTGAAACTCCTAGTTCTTTGATTCTGTAACTGTGCACGTCCTTTGCTTGTGTGTTCCTGGATTGTGAACATAATTCATTATTTGATAATATCTCTTCCATGTTGCAAAATATTATGTATTTTTGACCCTTTTTGTGATGGAGAAAAATTAGTATAGGAAAAGGATTTACTCTTCTCTTCTAGTCAGAGGTGGATTATGAGGATTGAGTGTTTCCCTTATTTTTTGAGTTACTCATTCAGCAAGTTTGATAGTTGTCTAATTTTGTATAGCAATTTAGGATTCACTTTTAATTTTAACCCGCAAGTCTCCAAACCTTTAATAATACTCAAATTTAGTTAATTTCTAATTAAAAAAAAAAAGAAAAGAAAACTTTACATAGTAACTTCCGGTCTCATCCGAACATTTATTAACTTTCACTCTTCCACTTATCATATCTGCAAAAAAAAAAAAATGTAATAATAAAAACTGACGATGTATATGATTAATGTACCTCGTGTGCGGGTATATTCTAGTTTTAAATATTTGCTGAGAGAGTGTAATCGCCCCCACCTCCTAAGATAGGGCGAAAGTGTTTCATCAAAATAACAGTATGAACATATAACGGTATGAGATGAGGAACCCTTCATAATTTAGTAATCTAGTGTCTTTATGGGTCAAGGTGGCTGGGGCTTTAAGAATTATTTGATTAGATAGGCTTGAAGAAATTGACATGATTTGTAATTTAGTTTTCTTATCACACTTCTCTTTCACTACTAATTTTTTTTTTGCACTGGATAATATGTTCTAATTTCTGAAACATATATAATTATAAAAACAAATTATGGTTTGTCTCATTTTTGTCAAGAAGCTCACATATATATGCTTCTCTGCAGGGTAAAGTCGCATCACTGGGACAGGATCTATTAACCAATGATGTGAAAGGAACAGATCACTGCTGTGATGGTGCTGATATGAAATCATCCAGTATAGATCAAAGCATGAACAGTGAAGAAGATGAAGGCATGGATGTTCCAGAACTTGTAGAAGAGATTATTGAAGTGCTACTGACTGGCTTGAAAGATACGGTATGTTTGAAGTGGTGAGATTCTTTTTCTTTTATCCAATTTCCATTGCACTCTTGTGCATTAAACTCGGAAACAGAAATCATATTGCATGATGCCTCAATATAGCATGGTCTTAACAAGAGAGCTCTCCAATAGGTCTTGTGTTTGGTACTGGTTTTGGAGGCTATACACATAAATGTTGTTTTAAAAAAACAGATTTATTAAAAATTAAAGCAGTAACTTCATTCACTAGGACCGAATTTTTTCATTACAATCCCAGACTAGGCTGCCAAATTAAATGACATGTCATCTAGCCTGAACTCAAATGAATTACCCTTCGAAAACAGAACATGCTATGCAGGAATCAACATTTTGAATGCTTCTTTTTCCTTGCCATCTCAATTGCATACATAGATTGCGCTGAGCAACTCGTCAAGATCGTATCTGAAGTACTTTTTTCTGTCAAAACTGTTGCAACCAAACAACCTCTAGGTCTCAAGATGAGCAGCCAAGCCATTGAAGAATATCTTTCCAAACATTCTTACTAAAATCACACTCAAAGATTTGTGCACCATATTTTCCACAGCCCTTTCATGCAAAACACAATAGAGATCATGATTAATTCCAAATTTTACAATTCTCTCTTTTGTATTTAGAGTTGGCCATATCCTCTTTTATGGGACAAACACAGCTCTTGGGCTGGTCCTATTTGAACACACCTGATTTTTCCATTGGACCTTTACCCCTCTATCACTTTATGTTTCATGTTGGCATGTTAAATGCAAAATTTCCCATCAATTACTACTGGTTGCCAGCTTGTAACTTTGTAGATGAGGTTCAATGATCCATAGCCAACACCACCCTTTTCATCATCCATGACATACTACTCTAGACATTAAAATCCCACAAAATTTGATGATTAATATAGTAAAGGGATCCATCTTGAATTTGAAGATCAAATGAGTTCAATAATTGCCGATCCATGGCAAGATAGACATGTTCTCAATACCCATATTTAGCCGTGGTAACTTAATACACATCATCATTTGCCTTAGTCTATGTGTTAGAATCCAACTCCTTTTGATGTATTAGATTCCCTTTAGATGCTTTCTTAGAGTTTAGTTTATGTTTTCTTAGCTTGAGGTCCCATTATTGTGTTACTGTCAGTTCAGTGTTCATTAGGGATTCTCCTTGTAATCAATTTAAAGCTCTTTAGGGGGTGAATGATTAATGAAATCTTAAGCCTTCTACAAGTGTTGCTTTGCTTTTATGCTTGTTTGTTGTTAGACCTTTATAGATATTGACATATTGTGTCTTATTTGCATAATAGCTCCCCTCCAAACCAACTTGACGCGTTAAGAACTCGTGGTTTGGACCCGCTTGTGCCCGCCTTGAAGTATCGGCCGTCACAAGCCCTGACCACCCGCACTCTGTCGCCCAAATAGACGTGAGTGCTCCTTTGATTTAATTGCCCGCTTGTGTTGCTTTGTGCTCACAAGCCCTTCTTCCGCTCAAGGCTAGCGTTCTTGCCGCCAAAAGGCTAGAGCGCGTCGCACGTTTCGGGGTCTAAACTCCCGGACCGTGACACTATGCCATATCTTGATGCAGTAACTTAGTATATCTTCATAATACATTACAATACTTTTTACATCGTGAAGGAGCTCAGCACAGCTTCCATAAGGCTAATGAATGGCCCAAGTTTTTCCTCGTACTCTCTTACCGAAGAATAATTTTTCTTCTGTGTTATGTATTTAGTGCTTTGTTTCTCTTAGTTAAATTGATAAGTTTTTGGCGCAAGGCCTTAATCCCATGATTTTTGAGGCACCACCTAATATATCCACCTGAATTTTAGCCATGCTTCTGGTTTTCAACATCCTTGCAGTGATATTATAATAAAAAATTTGCAGGACACTGTTGTCCGTTGGTCTGCAGCGAAAGGTATTGGCCGTGTGACCTCACGTCTCACATTTTCCCTCTCTGATGAAGTCCTTTCATCTGTGCTGGAGTTATTTTCACCTCGTGAGGTAGGCTGTCTTTGCTTTAGTAATAAATTTTGCATGATGAGTTTCCAAATTGAAATCTACTTTCAGTGGACTTTGCAAATTATGTTGCTTATCAGTGCCCCTTTCATCCTTTGTTTATGGGTGACTCATCTGTGGTGTCGTTTTTGATATATCTCTTGTCAAATAAAAACCGTCTATGTGCTATTTTATGAGTTTTTTTTTTACTCTCAGAACTTCTTATTCACATAAGATTTTGAAGATGAACTGAGTATGGTACATGTGCCAGGCCTCTAAGACTTGGATACAGTTTCATTTAACATAGATATGTTTCACCTTTTTAGCCCTTCCTTTGTGGGGCCGTTGGAGACCTTTTGTCTTCCTATCAATTCTCTGGAGCCTTATGAAGCTTCAACAGTTAGAGATTATTATTTACATTGTATATGTATATGTAATATGCTGAAAATTAATTGGCTTTTCTGGCTATTCTTTCCAGGGAGATGGTTCATGGCATGGAGGCTGCCTGGCTTTAGCTGAACTTGCTCGTCGGGGGTTGCTGTTGCCAATTAGTCTTCCAAAAGTTGTCAATGTTGTTGTTAAGGTTAGATCATCTGGTATAGAGATGTTATGACAAATAAATTGAAAGATCATCTCTTAGACTTTTGGTGTCTTTAAAAATTTCAAACAATACCAACTATCATCCATACCTTAGCTTACTTGATGTAGCTGAATTACAATACCAACACATGGACTATATGTTTTTATGTCAACATGTGCAGTGCATGAAAACAAAACTAACACTTTCTAGCTATAGGCCTGCCTAGGCAACCCCCCTTTTTTTTTTATTTCCTTTCCAAAGGAACCGGTGCCCTAAATGAACGAATTGAAAACAAGATATAGGTAGTAATAATGACAACTAAAGCAGAAACAAGTAAATAACAGTTTTGATAAAATTAATGTTCTATATGGTCTTTTAAACTCTCTATGCCATCCTATTCCTAGTGGATATGTATCTTCCATAGCCTTAAAATCTTTTTAAAAAAGAACAATGTTGAACATGTAGCACATGGTTTGAAGAATATGTTTATATGTCTACTTAGAATCCCCCCCCCCCTCTGATATTTAAAGATTCACAGATTAATCAAATCTTGTAGAATTAAGTCTGGATGGCTCAAATGGAGAGCAGCGACTGGGTTTATGTGTGGTTGTGATCATAGCTTGTCTTTACGGCTAAAAGAAATTTTTTACCATAAAACAATTAGAACATGGTTATCAAACGGGTTAGGATGTTGGGCTTTTTAAGGAGCATGTTAAGAAGATGAGTGTAGAAGAGATTTGTAAGTTGGGATGGATGGAAACACATTGGGGGAGAGATGTAGATAGATGGTGGAAAGTTAGAGTTGCAAATATAGGATAGAATAGGCGAGAATTGACACATTGGTTTGGTTTTGTAAAACATCCACCTCAAGGATGCACTGGTAAAGAAGGTGGAGGGTCAAGATGAAAAAGATCTTAAAAGAAGCTGTGGTAGGTCAGAGAAGACTTGTAAGGATGCAGTTAAAAACAATCCATGAAATAGCAGTTTTGCAAACCATTTAACCATGTAGCCCTGGATAGAATCGTAGAAGTGAGAGTTGGATGAGTTTATTTGTGAAGGACCTCATCCAACTCCATCCTTTTAGAAAAAAGGCTTTTGTTTTTGGGGCTATGCAGATGACTATAATCATTAATTTCATTTTTACAGGCACTGCATTATGATGTTCGAAGGGGCCCACATAGTGTTGGGGCTCATGTTCGCGATGCTGCTGCTTATGTTTGTTGGGCATTTGGTCGTGCATACTACCATGCTGACATGAGAAGCATACTGGAACAACTTGCTCCTCATCTGTTGACAGTTGCTTGTTATGACCGTGAGGTGGCTTATCTATTGTGTATTTATACTTGGATTGATTCTTGTTGCCAGCTGAATCTTTAAAAATGTGATTCAGGTGAACTGTAGAAGAGCAGCTGCAGCAGCCTTTCAGGAAAATGTTGGAAGACAAGGAAATTACCCGCATGGTATTGACATTGTGAATACTGCTGATTACTTTGCTCTTTCATCACGTGCAAACTCATATCTAAATGTGGCCGTTGGCATTGCTAAGTATGACGGGTATCTTTACCCTTTTGTGGATGAACTGATAAATAGCAAAACGTGTCACTGGGTATGACTTCCTAAATTTGACTCTCCTACCATATATGTGTACTGTTTCGCTTAAAGACATTTCATGTCATTTAAGTTGTAATATTGCTCATTCTTTATATTGCATGATGATGTTGTCTTGCTATCAGTATAATGTCATTTTCTCATTTTCAAACCTTGCGAATTGTCGATATTTAATTACCTGATTGGCTTTTAATTTCTAGAGGTTGTAGCCCCAAAGCATCTTCTCTGTTTCCTCTCGTTTGCAATTCCTTCCCTTGCCTTTTGCTATATTCCAGCTATGCATGACATAATTAATGTGCTTAACTGCCCTCTGGCTTACGTTTTTTTTATCCCCTTCGCTCTCTGTGCTGTGAAATTTTACAGCATATCCTCCATTAATCAGTACTCTTATAGGGAGCTGTTGATCTTATTTCTTTTGAATGCACTTAAGCTGTCAGTTATTCTAGTTTGTTGGGGCATGAGTCTCTTGCTTGCTTCTTGAGAATGGGTTTCGGTTGCTGGAGGGGGATCTTGAACGAAAATTTTAAATGGAAATTTAGGCCAAGTACTCTTTAATTAAGAAAGAATAATATCCACTACTCCAGTGAAAAATAGTTATAATCATTAGTTGTTTGTTTAATCAGCAAAATTCAGTTTAATTTCTGAGTAAGTTTTGATCAGTGAAGATCAGTTTTTATTGGTATAACTCAGTACTAATCTGTAACTGCTCAGAGACTCAATTGAATAAGTAAAAAGAATAGTATCAGTTTTGATAAGATTTACTTGGTAAAAAACTGAATCCAGTAAACATCAGGTGAAGAGAGCTGGCCTTAATGTAGTGATATAACTTATTTATATATCAAATACTTAAGTGACTATGAATGTACAATACACATCACTTTAGGGGCCAAGTTGGGCCTAACTTTGCATCATATGGACTCATACAGTCACATCAATCAAATTTGGTAATTTTTTAGCTTAAACAGTTATATGTAAAACTTGCTGGAGCCTGAAGAAACAATCTTGATAATTGTCATATGCGCATGTTTCATCTAGTGGTATAATGCTATTATATACATCATTTCCATTATGTGTAACATTACCAACTCAGGTCTTTTCTTTGTATTTTTTTATGCAAAATTTTGCTATAATTTGACTCTTGTATATATTTTCAGGATAAAGGCTTAAGGGAACTAGCTGCTAAAGCCCTTTCTGCCCTTGTAAGTTATGATCCAGAGCATTTTGCAAACTCTGTCCTAGGGAAAATAATACCGAGCACACTATCAACTGATTTGTGCATGCGCCATGGTGCAACATTAGCAGCTGGAGAAGTTGTTTTGGCTCTACATAAGCTCAATCATACCCATTCTGCTGGTTAGTTTTCTTCATGTAAGCTTTTTCAGATAGTATCTTTATCTTTATGAGGAGAGACTTTCTCCTGTACAAAATAGATTGCAGTGTTCCTATTCAATAGATTGTCATTGAATTAATTTACTTCCTAGCATCAGAATTTTCTGTTTGCAGTTTACTTCTGGCATCCTCCTTTTAAGCTTACTTTTTATTGATCTTACTGTCAGAAAGTTTTTTCCGCATATTACTACATTTTAATTGTGATTTTGAAATTTTTAAATGAAAACGCCATGCTTATTACTGCAAACAACTCATGCATGGACCTCACTTTATTTTTGGGATTAAGGCTTCGAATGTTGTTGTTGTATGGACCTCGCTATACCTCAGATTTATGTTTTTTTGGCCTTCATTGAAGTGGATAACCCTTTCTGCAGAAATGTCTCTACTGTATATTGTCGTGATGGGTAAATTATGGACAAGGGGTGGGGGAGGGTTAGGAGAAAAAAAAAAAAGAACTACAGGGAAATTTGGGGGCAAATCAAAATCCTTGAAGAAGAAACTGAACATAAGAACTTGACAGGATTTTCAAATCTCAACTGTCAATTTAAGTGGAGCAAAAAGACTGGAAACAGGTTTGCGGATGCAACTGGGAGATGATAGATGATGTTGGTGGGTGAGATGGTCAGAAGATGGAGGGAATTTTCTTTTTTTCTTTTTGAAGTGTACGGGATAATCATGGTTAACATAAGTTAAATTTAAACGGATTTATGAACTAAAAATTTATCATTTAGGTCATGTTGTAGAAAATTAGTAACACAGGGCTGCCATGGAAATTTCAAAATGTTATGGCTAACAAATGGAATGAGTAATAATTAATGGCCACTAATGAAAATTTCCCTTTCATTTTTTTATGTCTAAAATGCTGAACGCAAGTGAATCTATATTGTTGAACAAAAATTAGCCAATGCTGAACTGTTTAGCTTTTAAAACTTTGATCTGAACATGGAATGTTCTAATCTTGTTCTTCATTTTGCCAACTTTCTTGAATTCCTATATGGCTGCTAGTATGCTACCTATAGGATCTCATTTTGATAGAGTTAGTGAGTTTGTTCATGTTTTGGCTGTAAACAATGAGCAATCATACTAGTTACCATTGTCTGAGCTCCAAAGTTTTGCTCTCCCACTTCAATCTTTCTAATATATTTGTTTAGAGTGCTCAAAATTAGTCTGGCCTTCCTGAAATGTAATAAAAGGCGCAAGAGTAGACTTTTATTTTAGTTTTATTTTAATATTTGAAGTTTTTCCTTCTAGAGTTGCAAGTCTTGCAACTACTTACTAATACATCTTCATTGGCTAGGTATATTCCAGATTCCTTCTAAGAAAATCTGATCAATTTTTCTTGTTTCCTGTAATAGTTGGAATTGTTAGTAATGTATTGTTAAAAAAATTCTTCAGATTCTGTATAGTCCTTTGCGGTTTTGTAGTTTATACCAGAACATTCTCTCTGATCTGATATACAGTATGTTTAGATCTTATTCTCTGATTGTGAATTATGGGACCTGGCCCTTCTTTGCTGTAATTGATCTTATTGAAATTTTCTGTATCCAAAGATTTAAAAGATAAATTAAATAAAATTAAAAGTTAAGACTTTTGTATTTGCTATTGCAGATAAGCAGAAACAACTTGCTGGCCTTGTCCCTGCTATTGAAAAAGCACGTCTTTATCGTGGAAAGGGTGGAGAAATAATGCGTGCAGCTGTTTCTCGGTTCATTGAGTGCTCCTCTTTGGCCCATATACAATTACCAGACAAAATAAAACAAAGTTTGCTTGAAACACTCAATGAGAATCTAAGGCATCCAAATTCTCAGATACAGGTCAATCTTCTACCTATGTGTGTTTGTGATTACAACTTAGTGCCGAAACCTCACTTTATTATTTAATGTGTTGAGTAGATAGCTGCTGTTGATGCCTTGAAACACTTTGTTCCGGCTTACCTTCAACCGGATAATGGTAAAGGCTCTTCTGATATTACATCAAAGTATATCGAGCAGCTGAGTGATTCTAATGTCGCGGTAAGACGAGGCGCTGCATTGGCACTTGGTATTTTACCCTGCGAATTCCTTGCTAAAAGATGGAAGGATGTACTCACAAAGCTCTCAAAGTCGTGTGAAATTGAGGTAATGAAACCTTCTTTATGCCTTTTTTCTCAGAAAATTCTAAGGTATTGGAGAAGCTAAAAGGACTGGACTTTCAGGAAAATCCTGATGATCGGGATGCTGAAGCACGGGTAAATGCTGTCAAAGGTCTTGCTGCTGTATGTGAAAGTTTGGCTGACTCAAGAGCCACATCATCTCTGCATATTAGGGAAGATGATATGGCTCTTTCTCTTCTCATTAAGAATGAAGTTATGAGGAGTTTGTTTAAAGCCCTTGATGATTATTCAGTGGACAACAGAGGTGATGTTGGTTCTTGGGTTCGTGAGGCTGCTATGGTTGCCCTTGAGAGATGCACGTATATACTTTGTAGAAGTGATGCTGTAGGCGATCAAAGAGAAATAGAAGCATCTTCACAAGTCTCAGAACTTGATGCAATCAGAAAAAACCAGGTGAACTCATTGTTCAATGAAGAACTAGCTATCAATCTAGTCGGAGGAATTCTCAAGCAAGCTGCAGAAAAAATGGACAAGTTGAGAGAAATTGCTGCCAAGGTTCTTCAAAGAATTCTTTACAACAAAACAATATTCATCCCCTTCATACCTTACAGGGAGAAGTTGGAAGAAATTGTACCTAATGATGCAGATTTGAAGTGGGGTGTAAGTATGTTTTCATTGTTTTATATCAATCTTGTGAGAGATTGATTGTTTCCTGATGGAGAGTTTTCTTGCAGGTAGCTACTTTCTCATATCCTCGTTTTATACAATTACTTGAGATTAGATGTTACAGTAGATTTTTACTATCTGGACTGGTTGTAGCGATTGGTGGGTTACAAGAGTTTCTTGGAAAAGCATCACTTGCAGCTTTATTAGATTATCTGCTAGTTACCAAAGCTCAAAATGCTGATGAAAGAGTCTCCCGTGAACTTAATCTTTCCACAGACATACTTTGGGTCCTGCAGGAATATAAAAGATGTGATAGAGTCATCACACCAACTATGAAGGTAAGTTTGCTGCTGAAGTACTTTTGAGGTGGTATCTTTATTATTATCAACAGATAACTTTTATGCCAATTGAGCCTGTCTGAAGGTGTTTAGATAGCTTAGTATCACGCAAATCTTCTGAGCATTAGAATTCAAGTTTAAAAGTGATGCAGTTTTTGGTGTTTTATTATAGATTTTGGTGCTTCCAATCCCTTTTGCTGACTGTGGTGGCAGCGAGACTTTGTGTATATACTTTTCATCGTGATCTTGAAATATAAATTAGAATTATGATATTTTTTTGATGGCATGCTGTCCTGTAAAGACTTGCAGAATTTGCCAAATAGAAAGTCCACCTGTATCCTTGATTCCTGGTAGCCTTGTAGCCAAATTTTGTAAATAAAATGCTCAGAAAAAGGTACTATCCATGTGTGCTCAGTATATCAATACATTTTGGGCTTGTGTCTAGGTCAGGGTCCAGGAATAGTTAGCTGCCTTGTGTGAGATATGTAAGCTCCAGCAAATAACAAATGATTGAATTTCTCTTAATTTTTTTCAAAAAAAAAAAAAATTGTTATTTGATTGTCCTTGTAGTTTGGATTGTGTCTTCTATGTCAGAGATGTGGTACTTTGTTGAAAATCAATCCTTCTCTTTAAAGTATTTTTTTTTTCTAAGACCAAAATGTTTTAAACTTTCGTACAAACAAGTATGCAACTCAGAATTATTATTTGATTCAGCTTGCGGATTAAAATGAGATCTCAAGCTGCTTCTTAAAGTTACAGGACATATGTTAATAATACAATGAACCTGTAAGAGCATGCAGATTAGTTAGGCTTTTTTCTTTTTCTCGTATATTATTTTCCCCCTGAAAGGCTTCTGTTTTTTGTATTGAGGAATATTGGCTGATGCTATTCAGTCTGATTTAAGGCAAGTTGAAAATTAGTAAATTTCTTATTATATTTTTTTATCAATGCAAGATCATTACAGAATCACCCTTAAAAAATTGAAGGTTTTGTATCATTTGCTCCTGCTCTCAGCATAATCTAAAATATTGGCCTGCTTGAAGTTTGGTCATAAAGATGTCTGTGAAATAATTATTAATTTGTTTATATGAGAAAAATTATTAAATCCAATAATTCTTTGAAGAAGCTGTTGTGAAGATGTGTTACTGACTTACTGAGCTGTTTTATTGCCTTTGGCTTCTAGTGGCTTTATTTGTTCTCTTGCAAGTATTTTGGAGTTTTGTATTATTTCTTATTGGTCTGTTATGCTAAAGTTGTTTTGCATAGAACCATAGAGTCATTTCATTCTAATATAATTGCCTTTTTGTTTCAGACTATAGAGATTCTTTTCAGTAAAAAGTTCTTCCTGAGCATGGAGGTATTTCTCTGTAATCTCTTTAGTTTAATCTATTGCTGATAGACTTTCCCCTGGTCTTCTCATCATGTTCTTGTTACAACATAGGAAGACTGTTGTATTTGTCTATAAACTCAAGATGTACAATAGGAACCTGAAACTTAGTTATGAAGCGACAAAATCTTTAATTTCAAGTGGAATTTACAACACCTCATACTTCCTGAAGGATCAAGTGTATTTTGATTTGGCATCTATGGATATACTTGTTGAAGTGTAATTTCTCTGTATTTTGCATTTGCCTTTTCCTGGATCCAATACTGTTTTAGAAATTCATGCTTATGAAGAGATAAAGTCGTGTCTTTGCTATATTCGCCATAAGAAGCCTGACGTCCATTAATTGAGTGGTTTCTGCTAGTTGTTTGTTTGGTGTGATGATGCTTCTGATTAATGTGCCTTTGGTCATTGGTTTCAGGCCCATACAGCAACTTTCTGTGCAGGATTGTTGGATTCAATTAAAGTAGAGCTGAGGGCATGCAAAGACTTTATGAAATTGTATTCAGGAATCGCCCTACTTGGTTATATTGCATCTATTTCTGAACCTATTAACATGCAAGCCTTTGCCCATCTACTCTCTTTCCTCGGGCATCGATATCCAAAGGTTCGCCAGTTTTTCGAGTTTTTGGATTCTGCATTTTTATTCTTTTAGCCAAAAATTATACTCTGTGCCCCTTTATAATAGGCCACATTTGATTTGAGGTCTTTTTAAAGAAATTTAACTAATATGCCCTAACTATCCTTCAGACCTTCACTATCTAAACTTTACATCACCTAACCAATGTGATATTTCCTTAAAAATCTTGTGAGGGTATCAGTAAGGTAGATAGGGCCAAATTCAAAATGTAACTTAGGATTTGAGAAATTTTCACACTAGGTTAGTAACCCTGTAAGTTCAACTTCTTACTTACTCACATTTGACATTCATTTTAATGACCCTAAACTTGGAAAGATGCTGTGGAAAATTGGAAATTACTAACCTTAAAGAGGCTGCTTTGTAAATTTAGTAAGTTTGGGATCAGCTAAAATTGAAATGTGGCCTGTTATATTGTGACTAAGGGAGTAAATGGTAATACTTATTACGGATTCATCTAAGCTATCTGTTGTATCAGATACGGAAGGCTTCAGCTGAACAAGTGTATCTTGTCCTACTACAAAATGGAAATTTGCTGCCTGAGAACCAGATAGAGAAAGCTCTTGAACTTATTTCTGAAACCGCTTGGGAAGGTGACTTAGATGAGGCCAAGCAACAAAGATTGCAATTATACGAGCTAGCTGGTCTGGATCCTGGGCTGCTTCTCAAAGCCAGCTCTGGTGTGTTGAAGAGGGATGTAGAGCAAAAACAATCAATTTATGATGAACATGCTTCGTACTCTGCTTTAGTTGAATCAACGGGTTTTTAGAATGTAATGCTCTATTTGTTCTTCAGGTCTTCAGGATGAGATACAAACCCCATGTTGCTTTTGAGGAATTAGACGGGGTTTGAATTTTGGAATTTCTATTTGTACCAGTAGGCTCGAACACGCTACACGCCTAGATGCAGCAAAAACAACATCCCCTTTCCAATCTCTGGCTACCACCCTACCCAGCCATCATCATCACAAAGGGAGGCATTGCAGTTAAACTCGTATATCAATTATATTAATAAGTTTTATGATTTTTTGTTGTTAAAGGTTTTTTTTTTAAAAAAAAATAAATTAAATTAAACTCATAATCCGTATTTTTGTTATATATATATATACACATATATATTACAAGGTAAAATATATTAACTGACATTTAAAAAAACTGAGCATAGCAGTTTATCTTAAATATTATCCAAATAGGTTAGTTATTTCCTTAAATAAAAAAAACAAAAAAAAAAACTATAGCATAAAATAGCTTGTGGTAGTTCTTCGATCCTCGTAATACAATCTAAGTTGACAATAGAGCTATCAATTCGGGTAAATGGGTCGGGTTTGGGTAGGATAAGCGTGGGTCGGGTTAACTCGTGTCGGGTCAATTCGAATTAAATCCATAACCTATGCGGGTCGGGTTTGGGTTGGGTCATGCTTGAGTCGGGTCACGTCTGGTCATACTTTTTATCGGATTTTGGTCGGGTTTAGGTCGGGTTATTAACAGGTCGGGTTACATACGGGTCGGGTAAACAATAGGTTGGGTTTAATTTGGTTTTTCACGGGTTAAAACAGGTTAGGGTAATTCTCGGGTTTGAGTCAGGTTCAAATCAAGTTAATAATTTGCGGGTTAGTATCAGGTCGGGTCATTCTCGGGTTTGATTCGGATTCGGTTCAAGTCGATAATTTGTGGGTTATAATCAGGTCGGGTCATTTTCAAGTCGGGTCATTCTAGGGTCCAATTCGGGCCATTCTCGGGGTCAAGTCGGGTTAGGTTCAAGTCAATAATTTGCGGGTTATAATCAGGTTGGGTCATTTCCAAGTCGGGTAATTCTCGGATTCAAGTCGGGTTATGTTCAAGTCAATAATTTGCAGGTTATAATCAGGTCGTGTCATTTCCAAGTCAGGTCATATTCGGGTTCAACTAATTATAAATAGATAATTATCATTTTTATCAAGCTAATTATTTCCGTTGACTATAACATATATGGCAATATACTAGGGAATTATAGTATATAATTTAGGAAGATAATTATCTCCTTTGACCATACAACAAATATATACTATATTTAACTCTTAAAATTTGAGGATGAGGATGATGCTCCTTTCTTTTGCTGGCCTGGACCGACTTGGTCTCCCTAGACAAAATGCTTTGATCAACAATAATTAGGTGGTCTAAATTGCATTAAAGGTGATTTGAAATCGGGTCAGGAATAACTTGGGTTAAATTTAGGTCATGTCAATAACAAGTCTCGTTAATTTCGAGTCGGTTTAGTAACAGATCGGGTAAGTAATAGGTCTGGTAAAATTCGGGACGGGTCAATTACAAGTCGGGTTTAATTTGGGTCAGGTAAATAACAAGTCGGGTTGATTTCGGGTCAAGTTTGTAACAGGTAAGGTTAGGAACAAGTCGGGTTGATTTCGGGTCAAGTTTGTAACAGGTAGGGTTAGGAATAGGTCGGGTTGAATTCAGGTCACGTTAGTAACAAGTTGAGTTAAATTCGGGTTTTGATGAGTTTAAACGGGTTTGTGTCAATTTCGGTTCAAGTCAGGTTCAGTGCAAGTTAATTAAATTGGTCGTTGTAAACCGGTAAATCGGTGCAAGTTGTAAACCGGTAAATTGACCATTTAAAGGCAAATTAGATGGTTCCACCCACCAAATTGGACTCTCGGAGGATATTAGGGACCATAATAAACATTTCGACAATTTTTATTCCGGGGAAAAAACAGTCAAAAATTTAAAAAAATTGAAAGCTAATATCCACGCTTTTTAAGAAATTTTGGAGGTTTCGAGGCCCGGTGTCGCAAAGTATTGAGATTTTAAGGAATAAATTTGGGGTTCATATAATTCCTTTTGAAACCATATATGATCATTATATGTTGTCATAGATGTTCGTGGTAGGCTTCAGTTAATGAAATCGGTGAAAGTTTAAAGGCAAATTGGATAGTTCCACTACCCAACTGGACTCCTGGAGGGTATTAGGGACTGTGGTAAACATTTCGGTAATTTTTTATTTTCAAGCAACAATAAGTAAAAAAATCCCAAAATTGAAAGCTTATATCCACGCTTTTTAAGAAATTTTGGAGGTTTCGAAGCACGGTGTCGAAAAGCCTTCAGGTTTTAGGGGATACATCTCGGGGTCATATAATGCCGTTTGAAACCATATAGGATCATTATATGTTGTCATAAATGTTCGTGGTAGGCTTGAGTTAATGAAATCGGTGAGAGGTTTAAATTGGTAAATTATTCGTTTAAAGGCAAATTGGATGGTTCCACCTACCCAATTGGACTCCCGGAGGATATTGAGGAACATGGTAAATATTTCGGCAATTTATATTTTCGGGCGAAAAAAGTCAAAAAATTCCAAAATTGAAGGCTTATATCCACGCTTTTTGAGAAATTTTGGAGGTTTCAGGTCCAGTGTCGAAAAGCCTTCAAATTTTAGAGAATAAATCTTGGGGTCATATAATGTCGTTTGAAACCTTATATGATCATTATATGTTGCCATAAATGTTCGTGGTAGGCTTGAGTTAATGAAATCGGTGAGAGTTGTAAATCGTTAAATTGGCCGTTTAAAGGAAAATTGAATGGTTCCACCTACCTAATGGGAATCCCGGTGGTATTAGGGACCACGGTAAAAATTCCAACAATTTTTATTTCCGTGTGAAAAAAGTCAAAAAATCCCAAAATTAAAGGTTTATATCCAAGCTTTTTGAGAAATTTTGGAAGTTTCGGGGAAAGGTGTCGAAAAGCCTTCAGATTTTAGGGAATACATCTCGGGGTCATATAATGCCGTTTGAAACCATATATGATCATTATATATTGTCATAAACGTTCGTGGTAGGCTTGTGTTAATGAAATCGGTGAGAGTTGTAAATCGGTATGTAATACCCCGTGTTTTCATACGTATTTCATAATTAATTAATTAAGAATTATTTTATAAAAAGAGTATTTTAGTAATTTCATTATTTGGGGCCAAAATAATATTTGAATTTTAGCGCCAAATATAAGTATTTAATCATTTGAATAATTAATTATTTTTGGATTTTTAAATTAATAATATAGGTTTAATTATCTTTTTAAGGTCGGTCCATATTTTACTAACTATTTCAAGAGAAATATTTAAAATACATTATGTATTTAACTAATTTTGATATTATCTAAAATATTTATTTATTCAATTATTTTATTATTATTGATTGTTATTACTTTAGTTTGTTAATTATTATATTTTAAATTATCCTCTAATTTTCTTCTTCATTATCTCATTTTGTTCCTATCTTTCTTCTCCCAACCATATGTATATCCATTTAAATTTTCTTATCTTTTAACCCAACTATTAATCTAGACTTAATTTGATTCAAGTACCTTAACAACCCAAAAACTTATCACATTTTCTAGTAATCATATTACACCTTAAACTCTATCCTTTCTACACCCTAGCCTATAAATACCTCTTCATACCTCTCACATTCTTCACACCAATTCTCTTCGTTTCTTCTCCTCAATTTTACACAAATCATCCCGTTTATCTTTGAAGCCAATTTTCGGGCACTTCTGCTCAGTTTTTGGGGGTATAGACGTTTCCCAAAAAGTTGTTCCTCTCGAAAAGTCCTTGAGGTTAGGCTCAAGAATCACCTAATTCCGAGCTATATCAAAGGAGTTATAGCCTCTGCAAGTTCTGTCTATTATTTCCTACGCAAATCCAATTCTTCTCTTTTCCTTGGTTTCTTATCTTTTCTTCTTCTCTTCTCTTATTCAATTATTATTATTTTTATTATGGGGGATTTATAAAAATTATTATGAGTAGTTTTAATTATATAAAATCATATTTTTATGATGTTTATGAGAAATTAATTAAAAAATTCATGTACATATAGTTGGGGGTTTTTAATTATTTATTAACCTTATATTAATTAAGGTTATATTTATTTGTAGGGTGTGTTCGACCAAGATTCTTGAGGTTCTTTTGGTGTGTATAGCTAAGAAAGGATCAAGGTACGTTAGGTGGTTAGATACCTTTGAAATTGATTGGTTTGAATAACATGTTTTATATGATTTGATTGGTGATTGAATTAAATTGATTTGAATTATGATTTTGAAATAAATCATGTTTGGAGGTATTGATAAAAGTATTTTGGTTTTTAAATCATGTTTTAAATGGTTTGAATTACTTATCGTGTTTAAATAAATGATTTGATTTTTAAAAGGTTTGTTGAATTAAATAAAAGGTTTTTCAAGGAAGAGTTATTGATTTTGGAAAGCTATTAATATGAGATTTTATTCTCAAGTATTTATTTAAAATGTTTGATTTTGAAAGTATGTGGACTTATCAAAAAGGAGTTTGAATTATATTGGATTTGTTGGCTCTTAAAAGGATTTATTTAACCATTGAATTATTATTATTATTAATGCTTTATAAGCATGTTGGTAATCCCACTATGCGGATTTGGTTTATTGATAAGGCCTTGGACTTTGTATGACCAGGTCTTTCCTCAAGAATAGTCTTGTAATATAAGGAGACTAGCTTGGGGGGTGTGCACACTTGGGTGAGGAATTGGATTTAAAGAAATTGGTTCAAAAAGGAATTGGATTTAAAGAAATTGGTTCAAAAAGGAATTGGATTTAAAGAAATTGGTTCAAAAAGGAATTGGATTTTTAAAGGAATTGGTTTATCAATTATTTTGAATGTTAAATCATTGGAATTGGTTTTGAATCATGAGTTTTGGAATTAGTGGATTATTTATTGGAATCGATTTTAAAAGAATGTTTGCAAATAAATTGAGTTCACATTATCTTGCACTAATCGTACTTAGCATATTTTGCTAATTTGTATTTCCTATTTGTTTTGGTTCGCCCTGTTTACCGTAATGGTAAGCAGTGTTGACTATTTTCAGGTGGAGTCATGAATGAGCATATGGGAGTCCCGGGATTTTCTTCACCTAGTTTCGGAATATTGGTCTTGTCTTTATTTTGAGTACTCATAACAATGTTACTATTTTCATAAGTATTAATAAACAAAGTTGAGTTTCCGCTGCAAGTTTTTGTTATTGAGTTAAGTATTTT